AGACGGAGCCGGGCGGGAGCGGGGGGACTCGGGCTTCGTGCCGGGGTGGCGAGTGGGGCGCTAAGGCGGACAACGGGGACGAACGGGGCTGCAAAGTTTTCCCGTTGCGGGATTCAGGCTATGCCTCTGAGAACAAAGAGGAAGCAGCCATGTTAGCTGAGCCGACGGGGGGAAAGCCAGCCTTGCATTCAGCGGCGCGCTGGTAGAGGGCAGTGTAATTCCCCTGGCCGATCGCAAATTCTCACAGCCTTTCCCCTCACTCTCTCCCACAGAATCCAGAAGGAGCTAGCCGAAATTACTCTGGACCCCCCTCCCAACTGCAGGTATGTGAAAGGAGTCTGTATTCCCATTTGCTGTGGAATGTGTTCCAAGACTTGCTGACTTGCGAGCGGATGTTTTTACACATGTAAAGACTGTGCTCTGATCATGCTTGTTAAGAATGTTGATTAAATATTTTTTCCTGGTTGCCCTCAGAGCTCTGTTTGAGTGAAAAGTGTGTTTTTTGGTGTTGTGAATAATTGATATTTCTCGTGCTCTCCTGTATAGCTCCGTGTGTTTAATAATGTGACAGATGTTGCATTTAAGCACCGTGTCTCTGCTGCTGGTCTGTGTTTACATTTCATGTGCTAAATTGGTTGGCACCAAGATGTGCGCGTAACAGATGGAAAGACCTTTGACTGTAATATAATGTTATAGATTTTATTTTTGTTTATTGAGGACTTGTAGTCAGAGCGGTCTCAGTGTTCCTTGCTTGTCCTGTTACTGTGTCAGTCCAGTAGATTTCTGGTCTCATACAGCCTCTTACTGGGTAATTTAATTAGTGATATTGACATTGGTGTCATGATTATTACACTTTATACATTTAATTGCCTCATATTGAGTTGGAGTTTGGCTTATGGTTTCCCTGAATTTTATTGGACAACCTCCAATGCCATTGCTTAAGTGGCAGAATTGCACAACAATTAAATTAATTGGCTTTAGAACATTTTATGAAACTGTGAAGCATTCATGAGTTGAGGGCTTTGGCAAAAACTGAAAAAGTAAGTTATGTAAGTATATGACAGATTTTGTTTGGAGGCTCCTGAAATCTAATTATGGGCATGCTAACTTATGTTTTAATTTTAACAAACTGTGAAACGGTTTACTTGTTATCGTTTTTATATTAAAGCTTTAGGGCTGCGGCCAAAGGGATAAGAATTACTCATGCCGTCCATTGATATGCTGGTGAAAACAGGACTTCATTATATGTAATCGCCCAACAGGGCATTTCACAATTTTTTTTAGGAAGGACTCATTTGTGAAACTTGGCAGCATATGGTCTTTGTTTGGTTTTCATGACCCGGGGGCTTAAAGGGGGAAGTCTTACATTCTGAGCTCTCCATTCTGCTGTTCCCATTAATTATTTCCTGTTAAACAAACCTACCACGCTCGGTGGGGCTCGAAGCAGGCCAGGTTTCTGGAAGAGGGGCGCCCTTTCACTCCGACCGAGAGTGGCTCCGACAAAGGTCTGCGCACCCACGGTTCAGCCTTATTTAGAAAATCCCCGCAAGACTGACAGCGTGAGGCAGCTTCTCCCGCTGTCGGTTTTCTTGATTCGTTTTTTTTTTTTTATTTCTTTCTAAGCACCTGTGCCAGGACTCTCTGGCAGGACCGTGAATGTGGTCTCTTTCTATTCTGTCTGTGAGTGAAACACTTCAGTCAGTGACAGCCCCGTTACAGCGTAACGGTCGCGCTGAGATCCTTCATGAGGTGGTCACCGATATCGCAGCGACATCGCGACGCGGATTCCTGAATGTTTTGGTGACGGTTGTGCCTCCTTTTAATCTAAACGGTTATGAGGCGGGGTTTGAATGCGGCCCAGCGGCCATTCATCAACCGCCCGTGGATAAAGACGCCTGTCAGAAACGCTTCAGGCTGCGTCGCCTCCAGCGAATTTCAAAACGCCTCAGAGTTAAAGATGAGGATGGTACCCGCTAAAGTTAAAGAGGTGGCTGGCTAAAAACGGCAGACTCAACCAATGAAAAGGAAGCAACCGCACAAAAACAACAAATCATAGATAACCAGTTTCTGTAGAGTGTTATACTTGTAGTGATGGATGTATTGAGTGAACCAAATTTTCCTGAAACATTTGACTACTGGAGATAACGTTCTTGTTCTAATATTCTTTTAACCAGGACAGTAATATATTACTTGTTTAAGGAAGCAGTTGGTGTAAATATTATGTTTCATACATACGAATGAAATTAAAATTTCATTCACCATTTCTATGAATCGTCCTCACAAGACACTTATGTATGCAAGACACTTATATATCCTTCCCCCATGACAAAATGCATGCTATCCTTTGACAGAAAGGTGAAAATGTAGGTCATTGTGTTTGTGTGGCAGCTGCTGTGTGGTATAGTGGAGAGGAACAGGGCATGCGTGCTGTGGAGCTCTGCTGTGGAGCTCTTAGGCAAGGCACTTGACCCGAATTTCCTGAGTAAATATCCAGCTATATTGGATAGGTGTGACGTGAAAGAAGTGTTCAGCTACGCAGGTCAGACTGGAAAAGAGTGCCTGCTAACCCAGTATTTTAAACCATCTTTTTTTTCCTGCAACGACACACATGGAATGATAAAAGCTTGTGGCACACCACTGTACCCCCCCGCGCCACCAAAACTTCATACACCCCCACAGAGCTCATTATTATGGCAGTATAAACAGCACATTTACTTTCAGTGCGAAACTTTTGGTTGAGCATACTGCAGACTTACTGTGATAGACTTCGTCTTGATGTGGTTAAGTTAATGTGCGCTAATGAGAGTGAAAGTAAGCCTTGGTTGTGATCCACACTCTGTTTTCTTTGAAGCATGTAAAAAAAGATACATGCTTACACAGAGCAAATTTAGAAATTATGCTCACCGTAATTTTCAGTGCAGGTGCTGGATAGCTTTGCTACAGTCTCATTCACATTGTCAGGGCCTTTTGTAGCTGATATTTTATGGGCCTTTATGCAGGCCAACTCTTCCATAAGCTCATGAATTTTCCTTAAGTCTGCAGGATGGGAGCTTTCCCCAGTGCACTGGGTGGGGGGGGCGACTGATTTGATGGTGGTTGCATGCCCCACTGTGGGTCAGGATATGGGCTTATGTAGAGCACAAATGCTTCTGTCGGCCAGTGCAGACTTCACAAATAAGCAGGATTTAGAGAGTTTCGGCTCTAAAGCGGAGTTTAAAAATGCAGAGATGATGTGTTTTTTATTTTCATCTCCTTCAGACTAACAGTCTTTACATGGGTAATGTAACAGAGATGAGCTGTCTGCTCCTGTCATAGAGTGGTTTACATAATGTACACACTGCTCGGGGTAACAATGAGGGAAGAGGAGAATAAAGGCCTGGCTTTCACTGTATACAATAGATATTTATATTTCTGCCTGTGCTGTGATATGTTGACGGAATCTGAGACCTTTGTTCCTGAACAAAGGTAAGACGACATCATGTTTGGCGTCGTCCTGGAGAAGAAATGTGCTGCGACAAAATTCAGTGTTCGGTTGAACCACTGTGTGGCTTGTGGTGCATGGAATTTTGATGTGTGTGTGTCTGTGTGTAGGATGTGTGTGTGTGTATGTGTGTGTCTGTGTGTAGGATGTGTGTGTGTGTGTGTATTTGTGTGTGTGTATTTGTGTGTGTGTGTGTGTGTGTGTGTGTGTGTGTGTGTGTGTGTGTGTGCGCGTGTGTGTGTGCATGTGTAGGTGCGTGTGTATGGACATGTGTATGTGTGTGTCTGTGTGTGTGTGTAGGATGTGCGTGTGTGTGTGTGTAGGATGTGTGTGTCTGTGTAGGATGTGCGTGTGTGTCTGTGCATGCATGCGTGCGTGCGTGTGTGTGTGTAGGATATTTGTGTGACTGTGTGTAGGATGTGCGTGTGTGTGTGTGTAGGATGTGTGTGTCTGTGTAGGATGTGCGTGTGTGTCTGTGCATGCGTGCGTGCGTGTGTGTGTGTAGGATATTTGTGTGACTGTGTGTAGGATGTGTGCGTGTGCCTGTGTGTGTGTGTGTAGGATGTGTGTGTGTGCGTGCGTGCGTGCGTGTGCTGTGTGTAAGTCTGTGATGTGTGTGGTATACGTGTGTGGCATGTATAGTGCTCATGAACAGCCAAGCATATATTAGAAGCACCTGGCCATTCCCCATAGTGGTATCTCTAGCTGTTAGTTAAGTGGACCAGTTGTGTTACTGCTTAAAATGAGCTTAAATTAATGGCAAAATCTGGAAGCTATTCAGATGGTAGGCATCATCCCATTTAGTATGTTTTACATTTAAATTCCTCCTTATGGACTGCCAAGTGTGGGCCACACATTGACTAGCAGATATTTTGTGCTTACAGTCCTGCATACGACATTTGACTTTGCTCAAGAATAAAATCCCGTGGAAAAAGAAGCGGAGGCATATAATATTCAGGTCATAAATGTCCGCTCTCATAAGTCGTGCCAGTCTTTAGGGAAACACAGTTACTCCAGTGATTAAAAAAAAATGTCCTGCAGTCTGCAGATTTACGCTCTGGCGTTTGTTTTGAGGATGCGAATGGGTGATTGGTGTCAGACATGCCAGGAGAGCATCACACCAGCCTCCCACGGCTGCAGCCGGTGTACCTCCGAGCACCGCGCTTCTTCGCTGTTAACGCGCCGTTCTTCCTCGAAACGGAGAAAAAAACAAACGGGCGGACCGAGGAAATCCCTCCGCAAACAAGCCAGGGGCGCACCGGGGGTGTGTGCTGACACGGCGCGGTGTTTGCCGAGCGGAGCGGAACGGCTGGCGGAGAAGGGCCCTTTCGAGCCCCACATCTGAGGCGGATTAGCGCGCCTGCGCTCGGTTCCCCCGCGCCGCGTGCCTACGGCTCCGGAATCTCCAGCGAGGACGTGCATAACGGTGGCGGAATGTCTCCCGCCGCGAGAGACCTTCGGCGAATCGCTTCATTGCGCGTCGTTATCAGCCCGTCCCCCCGGTAAGCTGTCGTAACGCGGCAGTGTGGCGTAGGGGTAAGGAGCAGGGCTCATAACCCCAAGGTTGCTGGTTCGATTCCCCTCTCACGCACTGCTGCTATACCCTCGGGCAAGGTACTTAAACCCAGAATTGCCTCAGTAAATATCCGGCTGTATAAATGGATAACATGTAAAGTTGTACCTGTGTACGTCGCTCTGGATAAGAGCGCCTGCTAAATGATGATAATGTAATGTGATGTGATGCAGGCATGAGCACGGCGGGTTATACAGCTCAGCTCTGCTGGCAGGGGCTGGTCATGTGACCTCGCCAATGGTAAAGGTGTGGTGACTGAAAACAAGCCTTTTGCAATCACTTGGATCTCAAGCCTGAGCGTCACACACTGCTGGGAGATTTTCACGGGGCTTAAAAAAAGGGTACATGCCACTGTCATTGCTGGTGTCCCTTACACCGCCCCCTGCTGTCCTGACTGGTTTTTTACCTTCTGCACACCCCTTAGCTCAGTGCGATCTCTGCTGTCAGAGTTCTGTTGGCAGGCTCAGTGATTTGTGCCCTACCCGGGCAGAAATTCATTCAGCAGTGTTGTAGACCAACCCGCGGGCACGCCCATAAATCGTCTGCGCTAGGCGAGGGCAGTGTGGAAACAGTGTGACCATAACGCCTATCGTATTATGAGTAAATGGTCCTGGGCAAAGTTTGTTTTGTGAGCACCATTTGGCTACACGCATCGAATGAACAAAACAAAATCATAACAAAGGTACATTTTAGTATGTGAATAAGTCCTAAAAGCTCACGCAAACTGACTTTAATAGAATTTTTTTTTTTTAATCGTAACTCCCTGTATTCAGCACCTGTTGTTCATTAGAGAGCTCATTTCACACCTTGTCCTTACATTGCCTGCTCTTGATTAGAGAACATCAGCTGGAATGGAGTGCTTGTGTAATTGGGTCTTTAGGAGGATTGCACAGAAGAGGAAAGCAGTCAGCCTATCGCGTTCCCTCTTCCTCTGCGGTGCACTTGCCTCGATAAACCAAGATCATGAATCAAGTACAATTACTGTGCCCGTAGTGAGGAGGGAAACTGACAGCGCCAGCGTTATGCGTTTGTCTGGAACGCTGAGTCTGCGGGGAGAACCTAAGTGTACAAATGCTCAGAAGTGTAATTCAATATTTATCTGCTCTTTAAAACTACGCTGCAGAGACGCAGGATGAGCCGCAGAGATGCATGCTCTCGCCGTCCCGCGCGCTTATTGTTTGGGCGCAGCGGAGCTCCCGGCCGCAGCGTGTCGTTAAGACGCGCGCGTGGAGCAGAGGCTAATCGCCCTGCCAATTGCAGGCTCAGTCAGCTGCAGTCGTCCCAGGCGCTCCTCTCCCTCGTTTCTGACAGATCGGGCCCTGAGCCCGCGTCTTCGCGCGAGCGGGCGCCCCTCTGGCCGGGACTCCTTCGCCAAATGGAGGGGTGACCCCGCCTCGGCGCCCCCGGCGCCCGCTCATGTCCCCTCACGGGGCGAGGGCTGTCGCCTCTATTCAGCGTCTCAGTTTGGCTTTTTTCTGGGGAGGATTCGGCTGCCAAAAGGCTGTCTATTACAGCGACGAGAGTCATGGTCTCTATCTAACGCTGGCTGCAATCCATCCGTCAGAGTCATGGCCGGTCGTGTGTGGCTGTGTGTGCGTGTGTGCGTGTGTGCGTGTGTGCGTGTGTGCGTGTGTGTGTGTGTGTGTGTGTGTGTGTGTGTGTGTGTGTGTGTGTGTCAGTCACTCTCCCTCCTGCCACACCATACTGTGCTCACTGATTTCCAAACAGGAAGAGGCCCAGAGCCAGAAGGGTATTGATCTATGACCAGACAGTAACGAGCTGAATATTTTTGTGCAAGCTAGATGTTTTAAGTTAGAGATCTCAGCATCTACAGTAATTAATTTCAGCATATTTGCCTGACCCTCATGAGGGAGGCCTGGCTATTTCTCTAGCTTGGTAATTAATTCATTTGATCATTAATTACGCCTGCCTTGTCCCAGTTGCAGGAGATCATGGTACAGATTACAGTTTGACCTTTGAGGAAGTGTCCGGCAGGTTCTGTCTGACACCGTCTCTGACAGCAGAACAAATGCTTCAAGGAGCACAGTCCTTCCCATTCATTTCCTAAGGGCCTTGGAATGTAACAAGAATACTCCAGAGTTATTTTTTATGACCTCACAAAAGGGTTGGATGGCTGAATCAGTGTTTGATGGCAGTTAACGTCAACCATTATGCAGTTAGTGAAAAATGAAAAAAGCCTGGCAGGAAACATCTCTTTCTCACTCTCTCTTGCTCTCTCTCTCTCTCTCTCATTCTCTCTTTTCTGAATAATGCTACTTATTTTCTTTTTTTTTTCCCTCCAGTAATTGAGTTTATGTTTTGATACCTATGAGTCAGCGACGTGTTTTGCAGCTAACACACTGCCCTGTCTGCGGAATGGTCATGCCTTCTCCACGGGCTGTTCACACGCACACCTTGAATTCCACTGAAACACAGCCATTACTCTTCCATTTTAGAAATAGGTGACATGTGCAAACTTCCAGCAACAGACAGCAGTCCAGAGGGTGGTTTTTCTGTTTGGATTCTGGGTTCTGCAGCCCAGTCAGGCAGGAAGTCCCCCATTGAGCCCATGTGACTCCCTGAGCCGCACAGATCCACAAATCTCTGTCATGTTGATGCATGAATCTAATCTGCCTCCCTTATCAGAGAATATAAGTAAGCTAATGGTGTCGAGACACCAGAGTTTGTTGGCGGCCTTAGCATCATCGTACGCAGACTGCTTTCAGATCCAGCAGCAGTCTGGTTAGTGTAGTTTTTATAAACCTGAGGAGTGGTGCAATGCGATGTTGACTGCACTGGAAGCACAGCAGTGCATGGTGGTGGCCTTGGAGCCGTGTCACCTGAGCTACAGAAGCCATGGCGTCACAGCTGCCTATGGGCTCTCATGTGGCCTATCCTGCCTGAGCTGTTGTCCTGTGCTCTGGGCTGGACTGCAGGTTTATGACCAGGGATTGGCTGACACAGTCTACCAGAGATGAGATGTGGGCTGTGATTGGTTGATGCTGGTTACCACAGGTGATCCACCTGATCCACCTATCCACCTATCCCCTATTGTGTAACCTTTCTGTTATGGTATAAAAAAAAACATCTTCTGTACTAACCTTGTTTCTATGTTTCAGGTTATGCTTGCAGATTTCTGTTCTATTGTTGCAGGATATACAGGAGCACGGTACTGTAAATAATTAATTTGCATTCCTACTGCAATCTTTTGCTTATGAGGTAGCCAAACGTGATTGATGCACCAATTGTAAGTCGCTTTGGTTTAAAAGCGTCTGCGAAATACCAAATTGTAAATTGTAAACTGATGATATGCTCTGTAGTTTGAGATTTGTTGTGGATTCTGTGATCTGGTGACTGTGATGTATGGTAGTGTGTGCACTTGGCTTCCCTTAGTTAGTTAGGCTGTCTAGTCAGGTTAACCCAAGTTAACTTGTGGTAGTGCATGTATGGTGTTGTGTTCACACTCACTGGTCTGGGAGTGTTGTTTATTCACCTTGAAAGGATACACTTCTGTTCTGTTCTGCTGGAAGTCGGTCTGGATAAGAACGTCTGCTAAATGAATATGATGTACTGAAGGGAGACATCAGGGAGTTATGATCTGTTGGATTAACTGGGATATCCTTTGATCAGTAAGGTCTATTTACCTGTGAGCATGGCAGATTGTATAGCTCAGGTGAGCTTCACAGCCATGGGACTCCATTGCCCACAGCTGAAGTGGATGTGATCCGATCTGTGACCTCAGAGCAAAAGCAGCCTCTGATCCAATAGGACTGAGTGCTGTTGTGTAAACACATTTAAAAAGCAGAATAAACAGCCGAAATCAATCAAATACACACTGCATTATCTGTTATTCATTACAGGCTGGATTCAAAAAGTAACATTTTGTTGCTCATTTTTGTGCCTTGTTTGGATTTGTTTGTGAATGGCACAGTGTATGAGGAATGTTGTCCTAGCTTACAATCACAGTTTTTTTTCCAGGCTTCAGCAGTCTATACCAGCGTTTCCCAACCCTCTCCTGGAGGACCCCTCGTCCTGCATGTTTTAGATCTCTCCCTGCTCCAACAAAGTTGATTCAAATGATCAGTTTGTTATTAAGCAGCTTCAGGAGTTCATAACGAGTTGATCATTTGAAGGGGTCCTCCAGGAGAGTGTTGGGAAATGCTGGTCTATACTGCTCAGCATTGGCAGACATATTCATAAGCAGCTCTGTGGCACTAACTCATGGCAGCATTAAACTAGTGAATTACTGTATTGTGCTGGTATCCCCTAATGAGCCTTACTGTTCGGTCCATGTAGATGTTTTATCTAGAGAGCTATGGCTCTTAATAGCCTATGAGTCAACTACAGTTATCTGTGGTTGTAGTGTAAACCCTGCACTTCAGACCCCTGCGGAATTCAATGTTCTCACACATACAAACACAAACACACACCCACTAACGTCTGTCCCTGAAAGCTCATTACAGGATTGAGCCCTGTACTACCGTGGCAGTATTAGCTGCACAATATTGACACAGCGCACCATTGATAGCCCCAGGACCAGCCACGCCCCCCGAGATGCCATTGTCTGGGGTGTGGGGGTGCTGAGTGTGTCTTGTTCTAATTTGTGTTTGTGGTGGAAAGACCTTGTGTGTGCATTCAATTTGAGTGAAATCATGTTGAGTCTCCACTGGCGATGTGTTTGGCCTTGTTCAACACACACAGCACAAGGTCTCAGCTTGCTCATTTTCCCCTACTTTTTTCTACCCACACAAATGCCAGTGGGGCTACTCTTCACACTACAAGTCCCACAGTGCACCAGGAGGCAGATGCTGAATGGAGAATAGAATGCAAGTGTTACAATGAGGTATAAATTAATCCTAGCCACAACGAGCTAAACCTGGCTGACCTGCCCCTATCCTTGGTGCAATAAAGTTGGTTTGTTGTGGAATCCTGGTCATTGATGGAAGATGATTCAGCTGGTTTGAACCCAAGATACAGGGCTCCGCACATGCTAAGAGTGAAGAGCGCACCTTTACT